TATGATGATAAAAAACCCAGAGGGACAGAGGGAATGCCAGGCAAAACAGATCTGGTTTTGAGTTATAAATTGTCAACAAATTTTTTGTAGCATTACTCAAAAATTCCCCAAACAAATCTTCAAAACGTGAGAAAAAGCACAAACTCGTTTTTCTTCAGGAATAGAGGTCTTGCTGTACTTTGCACACAGGACACTTAGTCAATACTTAAACTGCAATGCAAATTACATCCATGGTAAAGCCTTATATGAAATGCAGAGTTTTTCACAATATGGTTGCATTTTGATATTCCCATACATAAATATATGAAAAATAACATGGTCAGTGCTTCAGACACACACAAAGCCCTTGATTCAGAAAGTGGTAGGGGTACATCACTAAGTTCAGCATATACTACTGATTTTCTCACCAACCTTTCCAGTTGAGAAGTTTATTTTTATTTTACCACTATGAATGCTGGTTTTACGTTTGCATAGATGCACGTACTTATTCAAAAGCCTTTAGTTTGAATAAAAAAAAGAGAGGCAACAATACCTCTTGCAATTGTAGCTCTTTCTTCTTAGCCGACAAATTCAAATGTTTTTCTAATAAACTGTAGTTCTTCTCTGTCTCTTTATCAAACTTCTTCTTTTCCTCCTAGAACAGAAACCAAGTAGCAAATATTTATATATAAAAATGTAAGACTCTTTCTTTTATAATCCTAGTTAATTAGAAACAAAGAGAAAAAACTGTCATAGCTCCAATAAGTAAAGAAAAGGATGTTTCCATCTCATCTAAAAAATTAAAGGTCAACTTGAAATTAAATCCCATTGCATCATTATAGTGTAGCTTATCACACAGATGCTTATGTCTTTTAAGTCAAAAGAGCAAAAAAACAGACCTCTTCTTGATTTATTGCATTTTTCATTACTTTCAGGGATCATTCACACCACCTTGTTTTTGAATAGAGAACTTCAATGGAAATATCAGATTCCCTGGGAAACCTTTTCTAAAATTGACTGGGGAAAAGTTCAAACAGTTCAAAACCCAAAGCAAATACACCTCCATATTCCATAGGATTTCTTGACTTTAAAGCCATACAATGACCTCTCAGCTGAATTCTTGTTCCTACCAGTTTTGTTGTGCACATGACAAAACAAAAGGACTTTTTAAAATAAAGAAAAATATCCATAAAACATAAAATCATACTAGGAGAAGAAAAATTCTCACAGACATGTATGAATATCATTTGCACATGCAAATCCATTTCTCTGACCACCAAAGTCAATATATTGGAAGAAGGATGATCATTAAATATTTTTGGGAAATCTGAGTTCCTGGACCTAATCTAGTAGAAGACACTGTCAAACAAATTCTTTCCTCAATTCTAATTTCCTAACAGTGTGTAAAGGCAAAAATCAGTATTGGTGAATTCAACCAACCAGTTCGGAAGCTATTTTTAGTATATCTAACTGCAGCAGAAAATAACCTCAAATAAGTAAAATCTAGTATTACATATTCAAGAACTGACAGATTTACTCACCAGAAGGGTACCAGTTGAATTACAATATTTTTCTGTCAACTAAAATTTTGGAATTTAAATTAAACGTATTTTATCCAAAATCCTGGTTAAAGTCTACTTGCTCTTTTTTTTTTTTTTTGTCTCTTTACCTTTCATTTTTAATAATAGCATGTAAGCAATACACAATGGTTCTCTGAAACATTAGATTTTGAAGATGGTATTGTATTTAAGATGGATGCAAGCTGTTTAGGATTGCTTCTCAGCAAAGTCTTTTTAAAAAAATGCTCCCCCTTTTGTTTTCCATTATAAGTCTAAGAACTTCCTTTAAAAAAGGAGCCACAATACTAGTTATCAACAGAGAAACATTAAGATATGTACGTGGTATCAGTGTGATCACGGATAACTTATTAGCATTTGGGGAATTAGGAAGAAAGAGTGTGGGGAAATGGGTGGATCTCTGTGATTTTATTAGCAAAGTTTCCATTGATGTGGTGAATATTTGAATGCTGCCAGAAAACACAGAGTTCTCTTAACTTCTTAGTAGGCAAAGCCAGAAACTTTGCACAAGTAGCTTGGGATTAAAGCAGCAACACATTTTACTGAGGTGTAAATTAAGAAGGTCTCAGCTTCCAGCACTTTAATCTCATTCTTTTTCTTCTTCAGCCTAACTCAGACCATTTCATCAGCAGGGGGATGTAAGACACAGGAAAATATGAGGCAGCACGTTCAACTTTTATTCTGTAAGAGCAGCTTATAAATCTTTCCTAAAGCAAATACTACACAGTGTTCCAGATATATTTCACCACTAGGTGCCATAACTCGATTTTCAGAGCTAAGCAGTATTATATTTCCAGTGTCAGTGCTTTGATTATATTGAATAAATACTCAGTTAAGAATATGCCAAGAGCTAAATATTTTTAGAGGATTTTTATTTAAATATTATACGATTATGTAAGGCTGTTCTATTTAAAGGTCATTCAGAAATCTGCCAAAAACAAAAGGTTAGATCACTAATAAGAGCAAGAGCTTTACAGATGCAGTATGCAGGGACACAAGGAATGAAACATTCATCCAAACAAAAGGAGAGACGTAGATAATGTGAATGTAACTTGTGTTAGAAGCATCAGGAACAAAATTCTGACTAGAAATAAGTGAAGATATGAGATAATTTAAAGCATTAAGAGTTCTCACCCCTAAAACAGCAATGTTCTTTAACAGCAAAAAATACTGTTGAAATAATCCATTCATTAACACAGCTGCTTCTGTGACAATAGATACATTTAGAATGAATCTTTTTCTTCCCTTGATCCCTCATAGACCATGTTTTCATTGTATGTTGGTTGGGTCATCTAATGTACTTCTCTCAAGTCCACAAAATTACACAAAGCTCATTGTACTATTAAACTGAAAGGATTTATGTTGAACAGAGCATTTTCAATTCATGAACACGGAAATCATATGCAGAACACGCTAATCATTCCTGCTAAAGTCAAAATGTATAGTGCTCTTGTAATTGCAACACTGTCTTAGCCATTAAATATCACTGGTAATTACGTCATTATTATAAAATAAAACATATGCAGGTAGTTTGAAAATGTATTAATTGAGTTTTGCAACAGAAAACTGTAATAAATAGCTGGGGAGTTTTACCTTTTCTTTTTTTTTTTTTTTTTTTTTTAATAAGTATTTAAATTCCTCACTGCAAGAAGGAAGATAGGTACAAAGAGGCCAAATATGTCCTTGTTACTTTTATCCAAAGCTAATCTGTATTTAATACGTGATGTCTACTTTGCCTTTTTTTTTTAAATATACACAACTTTGTGACAATCTTACAAAAATTACCAAACACTTTAACCAAAAAGACATACTTTGAATGAGATCTCTTCTTCAGCCTCTCCACCCCTATTTTTTTCTGCTCATACAGAGACAAGGTGTTGTTTATAAAAAAAAAAAAAAAAAAAAAAAAAAAAAAAAAAAAAAAAAAAAAAAAAA